GCCTTGGACCATTACAGTTTCAATAAAATTGTAAAAAGTATTATTGGAAAAATAGTAATCGTCCCATTAATAGGCATGCATGAAGATTTCAAAGAAGTTGTGTATAATTTCAAAGTTTTTCAGAAAAAAAGGATACTCCTTACCCTTTTATTATTGACTTGTCATTGCTACAAAAGGGATTATAACATTTATGAATCCACGTGGAGTGGATGTTTCTTTCTTAAACGCAACCCGAGTTTCTACCAAGCCCTCCAAAAAAGAACCTATCATTGGCATGTATTGAAATGCTATAGCAATTAGGTGCCTCCACAAATATTTCCAAGTCCGGGGGTATCTCGTAGTTGTAAGAAGAATCAACGACCCTTAAATTACTTAAATTACTGAAGTAGGCCGCTTTCCCATGGCCCTCAAAAGCGATCATATGGACATGGGAAAAAACATAGATTTTAAGTTTTGAAAATAGTATATTGTGTGACGTATTTGTGGATCATCAATTTTCATGATTTTCAAATTTTCATAGATATGTCGATCTTTGAAGCTTTAATCTTTATAAATAAATATAAAAATATATTTTAAGGCCATAACAATGATTTTCAATATTAAAACTATATTTGTCGATACTATTTAAAGGTTGGCTCTAATTTGATTGTTTAGAGTCTAGACCGTATACAAACTGCATGCGGAAAAGTTTTATTTTAAAAATATTTTATCTCAATATTAAAATTAATTTTAGAATGTCCAAAATATTTTAAAAATAAAAATTACATTTAAATTTATAAACATTAAATTTCAAAGTTAATGTATTATACTAAACCGTGAACAAAAACAGGTGTTAAAATGTCATTGGATGCCACGTAAACTTCAACACCAAGATGTGATCTATTTCTTGGTTGCCACGTAAAAGTGATCTATTCCTTGGTTGCTACGTAACGGAAGAGGTCCTCCTATATATAAAATAAATTTTTTTTTTGTTTTTTTGGAAAGTAAGAGCTCCTCCTATTTTATATATAAAAGATGCAATACCAGTCAAGAACTAAGTGCGGACGTGTTGTCCTCTTGTTAAGAGTTCTCACCAATTATTTAAAAATCGGCGAGTCGAACCGAACTCATCCGGTTCAATTCGAAAATCGGCACAACTCGTGTCAGTTTCAGCATAAAACTAAAAATCGCCCGGTTCTAGAGCAGAATCGCCAGTTCCTACCCGGTTTTGTCCGATTCTAACGGTTCTCTCCCTGTTCTAGCCTCAAAAGCATATTCACATGTGTATGAGTCATGCATGCGACATGCACCACTCCTACATGTGTGTACGTGTGACCCAAGCGGTACACACACTCCCACACGTGCCATACGTGCGACACTCACATGCACGCGTGCACGACCCGGCCCAATTCGACTCGAAAATCGGCACAACCCGTGCCGATTCTAGCACAAAATCGGGAACCGCCCGGTTCTAGAGTAGAACCGCCGGTTCCCACCCGGTTCTGTCCGGTTCTAATGGTTCTCTCCCAGTTCTAGCCTCAAAAGTACCTTCACACGTGTACGTGTCACGCGTGCGTCATGCACCACTCCCACACGTGTGTACGTGTGACACAAGCGGTACACACGCTCCCACACGTGCCACACACACTCCCACACGTGGCATACGTGCGACACGCACATGCACGTGTGCACGGCCTCGCCCGGTTCGACTCAAGAATCTGCACAACCCGTGCCGGTTCCAGCATAAAAGCGAGAACCGCCCTGTTCCCACCCGTGCACGCGTGCACGTGTGCCACACACACTCCCACACGTGCCATACGTGCGACACGCACATGCACCCATGCATGTGTGCACCGGTTCGAGCCGGTTCAGGTATCAAAAACACCTTCACACGTGTGTACGCGTCACACGTGCGACACACACCACTCCTACATGTGCCACACGTGCGACATGCACGCGTGCATGTGTACGGATGCCCTAGTGCCACACACACTCCCACTCCCACATGTGTCATACGTGCGACACGCACATGTACGCGTGCACGTGTGCCACACATACTCCCACACGTGCCATATGTGCGACATACACAACCCGTCACACGTGCGACACACACCACTCCCACATGTGTGACACGCACATGCACGCGTGCATGTGCACGGATGCCTTAGTGCCACACACACTCCCACACGTGCCATACTTGCGACACGCACATGCACACGTGTACGTGTGCCACACACACTCCCACACGTGCCATACGTGCGACACGCACATGTACGCGTGCACATGTGCACCGGTTCTAGTTGGTTCCATATGTGCGACATGCACGTGCATGCAGTTCTAGCCGGTTCAAGCCTCAAAAGCACCTTCACACGTGTGTACGTGTCGCACGTGTGACACACACATGCATGCGTGTATGTGTATGGATGCCCTAGTGTTTTCACCAGTGTTTGAAAACTCGTCGAGTCGAGCCGGACTCGCCCGGTTAGACTCGAAAATGGTTTGCTACCGAGCCGGTTCTACGAAAAACCCCGGAATCGCCCATGTCTAAAGAGAATCGGGCGATTCCCAATAGTGGATAGCAAGTCTCACCAAAAAAATAGTGAATCGCGAGTCTCACCGACCCAATAGTGGATCGCGAGTCTAACCGAAAAAATAGTGAATCGCGAGTCTCACCAAAAAAACTTGTATTTTTTGAGTTTACACGAGGCTACCTCACGGGAGTGACACGTGGCCACTTCACGGAAGCAACACGTGGCCACACATGGTAACTCACCTCACGTCTGCCCCCTCACTTTCCTACACGTACAATAGGGTTACACATGCCTTTATAGAGAACCAAGCAACACTTATCCTTCGATGTGGGATAATTCCCACAAAAAAGCATTAAAGCAAGATGATTGAATATATATTATTATAGAAGCTAATAGAATCACGTGAGGCGATGTGGTCGTGTTGGTTGACAACACCGATTTTTCGGTGGACATCTTGAGTTTGAACCCTTAGCACACAATTTTGAGTTCGAACCCATTAGCACACAACAAAAAAATACAAAAAAAATTTTGTTGTCAAAAAAATAAACAAAGGCAGAAAATACTATTGTAAAAAAATAGAAAAAATATAAAATAAAAGGCTTTTCAAGATAAAGATAAAAAAGATAATACAATATTTTTTTTATTTTTCTTATAAAAAAATAAAAATTGTTGTCAAAAAAATAAACAAAGGCAGAAAATACTGTTGTAAAAAAATAAAAAAAATATAAAATAAAAGGCTTTTCAAGATAAACATAAAAAAGACAATACAACATTTTTTATTTTTCTTGTAAGAAAAATACAAGGTAATATAACAAGTATTTCTTGCAAAAAAATAAAACAAAAGGCATAAAAAATAAAATGTACTTTGGCAGCATCATTTTTTTATTTTTCTTGTAAAATAAAATAAAAAGTAATACAACAAGCAAAAAAAAATGTAGTACAACATCTTCTTCTTTTGTCAAAAAAAAAACAAAGATAATCAACAAGTATCATATTTTTCTTGTAAAAAAAAAAAAAAACGAATAACACAATAAGTATTTCTTGTCAAAAACATAAAAGGTATTTCTTCATACAACCTATGAATAAATAGTTTAATTATATTTTTTTATTTTTTATAACATGATGGT